GGCCAGTCCTTTCGGAGGGCAGCTTGTCACAAACCTGCTCCCAATTCGTGAGAATAGTATTTCTCACGTTTGGGGCCAGTCCTTTCGGAGGGCAGTTTGTAATAAACCTACTCCCAATTCGTGAGATGCCTCACGTTTGGGGCCAGTCCTTCTGGAGGGGCGGTTTGTGGGATGGCCTTAGAAAAGGCCCTCCTGCCAACGATCAAAGACTCCATCTTAAATGTATCCAGTCAAAGGGATAGTACTCCTGCATGACCACGCCGCTGTGCCCAAGCCTGCCAGAATTACGGTCTTGGTCTCAGGAACTCCCAACGATCTCAGCTCGAATCTCTCTGATTTTATCTTCCCGTTCGCACCAGCCTCAGCCATGCGTGGCTTACCCGAAGAGTCCAACTCCCATAATTTAGAAGATCGACTTCTCCTTGAAGGCCCCAAAGTTTTGCTTATTTGAGATGACCCTGTGCGTGTAACCTTTTCTTTGGGAGCTCGATTTTGATGTCTGCGCCCCCAATTGACGGTTTTTGGAGAAAGCGGTGGAGTTTTCTTCGTCGACACTCCCTCTTGATTTATCGGCGGGGGATCTGTTGATATGTTTTCTAATGAAGTGGTAGATGATTTTGATGGAGGAGGCGGGAAGCTTGCGGGTTTCTGGCGTTTAAATCCGTTATCCACTCCTTCGTCCTCTAGATCAGTTCTCGATCAAGCTGAGGCACAATACCAGGACTGGATTTTGGATGCCCCCGATCTACCGAAGGCCTTCAGGAGCTTGACGGGAGTAACAATGAAGGATTGTCATTAGGCGATTCATGAGATATTTCCTTATTTTCGCCATGCAAAGAATACCATTGACTACTTCTTATCGTATATTGTTTTTTCTAAGGAAATGAAGGAATCTCCTAAAAAGCTATTAGCTTCTGGCTAGGACATTAGTTAACTTAAAAAATAACCTACAACTGGGTTTAGCGGAACTTGCGATTCCCGTAATCTTATGCCTTTTGATATAAAATATCTGGATCTCCCGGAGCAGCGTTATATAAATGCGATAGTTCTCTAAAATATCCTTCAGCTGGAAAACTTAATAGCTTATATGCTAAGGGCTAGTAAAACTACAGACGCTGAGGCCATATTAAACCTAGTGGTATCAATGGAACCACCAGTTTAAGTTATTCTTAATGTTAGTGCATAAATACTTGAGCTTACTAATGCCTAGTTAGCTATAGTTTGGCTTAAGAAGGTCCTAGAGGCATAAGGGAAGAAAGCGGTAATTTATTTTGATAATAATAATAAACTCTGTATTATTAACCAGCAAGGGTGTGTCGAGAGCCTTTAAACATCGCCGTATAGCTAACAACTAGATGTTTGCCTTATATTCTTAGATAAAGCGTATATAAGAGGCACTGACCTAAAGCTTCCTACCTATTATAGAGCTGCTGTTACTTTAGGTCCTAGATTAACAAAAGATCGGCTTGTGTAGGGTAAATGCTAATCACCCTTTTAATTTAAAATCTATATACTAATATATAGTAGCTTATATAAGACTACGAAAGCTTAGTAAAGGGTAATTGGTTGTTTTTATAATATTTAAAGAAATTAAAGTATGAATTGTTAAAATAAGAAAGGACGATGACCACTGTTTAATCAAGGTACTTAATATTTTAGTATAGGTAATTTACGAAATATTCGTAGATCTTTATTAAAGTATTCTAATATAGGCAGTCTAAGGTTAGCAATTTAAGAAATAACATATTATATAAGAATCAGTTATAACAAGCAATAGTATTTAATTACTATTAAAAAAGGCTAAAAAGTTCTTAGAAGTAGAGATATAATTACTAGATAATTAATATAGGCTGCGTAATACTAAAAAGCAGCTAGTACAGCTTTTAAATCCTAGCGGAAACCTACAGTTAGAAGCTATTTAAAAGGAGTTCTCCTATTTAAACAGTAGTTTTTTCCTATTTAAACAGTAAAGGTCCGTGCCCGTATTAAAATTAATGCGTATAAACCACCGATCCTATTAATCTATACTAAATTACAGTGCGGCGCCGTGGAATATTACGTACTTAAAAACTCTACATAAGACTAAGTTGAAGATCGTAAAGTCGAAAATCGTAATGCCTCCCCCTAATGATAACGCCCTTTTCGGCGATAGGATTCTTAATCCGCCGCTCTCCTTAGAGATGTTAATTAGCGCCGGCCTTAACGAGATCTAGGACTTCTTCTTATTATATACGCTGGCGGCGTTAGATATACTAGCGCTAGTAGAGACTGTAGCTACTAAAGATATCTTTAATAACTTTAATAATAATAACTTTAATAATATAAATTAGCTATAATATTATAAGTTTAATAATAAATTTAATAATAAGGTTCTGTTCTAATAGGTTAGAGGTGAGTTTAAGGAGATGCTGCTGCCTTTATATATTAAAAAGCTATTACAGCCGCCTATCTACGTAACGGGGTCGCTGTAGTAAGTCAAAGAGACTGCAGAGGCCGCAGAGGCTGAGGAGACTGTAGAGGCTATAGAAATTGCGTTAGAGACTGCGCTAGAGCTAAAGATTCTATTGCCGCCGCTCTTAGGATTATATAACTTATTTAACGACCTTATAGACTTCCTATAGACCTTTTACCGAGAGAATGGTGCTGCTATTAGGATTTTAAAGAGTGTAAACCTTTGCGAGTTTGATAGAGAAAGGAAATATATATATTATGCCCTTGTCTACAACTACGCTAGTCCTTAGACTTCTAAAAGTATTAGAATTTAAAAGACTTTAACTTAACGGTTTAACTGCCTATTTAAAGTTATAGTATTAGTAATAAAGCATTCCGGCTAGAAGTAGTTATATTACGTTAACTACCTTAATTATAACTACGACCTATCTTTTAACCTATTAATATATATAATATATTACTAGTATACTATTAACTAGCAGTAATAAAAATAAAACTTAGCTAAGTACTAGGCCCTTCCTATGTATAAGATGTTAGAGATTATAAAAGATTCTAACCCTAAACTTATGTTCTTTCGTTAATTAGATATTTATAATAACAAGTAGAAGATTAGAATTAAGGGACTTAATAGCTTATTGGTTACTTAGGCCTAGATTAAGTAACTTTAAGATAATAATCTTTATTATTATATTAAACTTAACGCTAATAATAAAGTTAAGGGTATTCTATAGACTTATCCTTAATTAAAGAAAATATAGTACTAGTTCCCTAAAGTCCTTAGCCTTAATAATACTTATAAAACTAACTGCTTTTATATATATCTTTTTAAGGTTATAGGTGTTATAAACTAAAAATCAGTAGCTAACTTTACCTTTAGTTTTATTAATATAGAAAAAGAAGATAGCTTTTTATAATTTTATTAATAACTTAAGGAGCTTCGTTAAGACCTTTATATACTAACGCTAACTATAATAATTATAAATAAGGAGTTAACACTAAAAAATACCCTTAAATTAATTTTTCCTACTGCCTAGTAGTAACTATATATTTATTATATTAATACTAATATTAAAATGCGAATTTAATTAAAGTAGAAGAGTAAAAACGGTAGTAATAATAATAATAAGTCTAAGGCCGCTGACGGTGATGATAATACTATTAACAACGACCTTACTGCCTATGCTGCTAAGTAAGAGATTATAAAGTAGGGTAATACTACCTTACTACCTACTGCTAACCCTTTAACTTACGAGGGAATATTCTATACTTAGAAGCAGGTTATTTACGCCGAAGATAAGGAAGATTTCAAAAAGGAATAGTATAAAATAAAGCTTATATATAATTTAATATAAAACTATATCCTACGCTATATCTTAAAGAAATATATACTATACTGTAAACAGTAGGCACGCTACTTTATTAAGAGATATTATAACTTCGGCTAATACATTAATAGTCCTATAGAAATAGTACATAAAGACGTAAAGTCCTTCCTTATTATAGGTACTAGTAATCTTTTATATTTATATAATACTATATATTTAATATTAGAAAAAAAGGAATAAGATTATTTTTAAAACGTAGCTAAGATGCAGATGTAGTAGCAGCAGTGCTTTATCTAGCAGCAGGACTAGCTAGGTAATATTCTAATAACTATTACCTATGTTACCGTTAATCTCCTTACGTAGTAGTATTACCTAGCTATAGCCGCAATACCGTTAAACCCTAACCCTTAGCTGCTGCAGCCTTACACCAGCAGCTTTATATAGTAATATAGCCTTCCTTATAGTTATATAATCTCTAAGAAGCTTAATAACGGTAAGGCCTTAAGCCGTAATAATATCTACCTGTAATAGTAGTTAATTAAGCCTTTAGTACTATTTCCTATAATTTTCTATAGAAAAATTACTAACTACTTAGTTCTAGGATATTAATAAGCCCCTGCTTTAAATCTGTGATTTTAATATTATTTAAAACCTCTGTAGCCGCCTTTGCTTACTAAATAATAATAAAATGCCTATATTATTAATACTAAAGGCTATTAATAACGGCGAGGATAATACCTAGTAGGAGTAGATAATATAGTTAATATAGCAGCAGCGGCTGTAGTAAAATTTACAGTTATAGTATTAATTAAAGCTAAGCGTATACTGTAATCTTTTTTAATTTAAAGTCTAGGGCTTACAGAGGTTATCCTAAAGCTGCAGCTGCAGCTATACCCAGGCAACTTTATTATAGTCGGCGAAAGGTTCTTAGTTACAGCTAAATACGCGGGTTACTAGAACTATAAGGGGACAGTCTTAAAGACAAGCTAGCGCCTCTACTACAACGAAGCTGGCTGTAATAGCTACCGCTGCCTTTGATATAAATACTGAGATAGAGGCTGTAACGGAGTCTAAGGCCAAGGACGTTATCGTTATCCCAGCTACCTAGATAGAGGATAATAATAAAGATAAATTAGCTAGGCTATAAAAAGTATATTTATCTTAATTAGAAGGGCTGGAATTGTTATTCCTAAACGAATTAGGTTAGATCGATAGTCTTTAGTGTTATAATGTAAATTTTTGTTTAGTAATTTTCCTTCCTAGTGTGCTGTACTGTATTTTAGTGTGCGGGTATGGCAATTGCGATTAAGGGGGTAAATCTAGCTTGTGATGTGGACCCTTACTGTTTAAATAGGAAAAAACTACTGTTCAAATAGGAGGACTCATTTAAAAGCAGTATATAAAGTTTAGAAACACTAATTTACATTTATCTATATTATAGAAAGAACAAAAGCGAAAAATATTACCTAAAATCATATAAAAGAGGCAGATTAAAAAACCACAGCCAATTAGGCCCAAAAAACATATAATTCACCTAAGGCTTATTAAACTAGTAACTTCTAAAACATTTTCTCAAGCACTACTATTCTTCCCAGTATTTAAGGCCTTTAAAAAAACATATACAGCTTAATTACTAAACGTTAGCTATTTTCCAGATAATATACTTGTAACTTAAGACTTTATGTCACGACCTGGCTCTTATAGTTGCGACAATGGGCCTACAGGGTAGTCGGTTTCGGATAAACGACGGACCGATTAACTAATTAAAAACGGATTATTAAATTATTATAATAATCTAACGATCTATTAATGGATTATTAGAACTTTAAGATAATCTACAATAGGATTATCTATACTTACTAATAATCTAGCCTAGCTAACTAAGTATATAAGTTTACTTTATATTACTTATTAAAAATACTTAGATAGCTAGTTATTATTATAGCATTTATAATATAATTAGATTAAAATATAAACATTTACTTTTATTTATATTACTAGCTGGTGATAAAATTATCCGTTATTAACTTAATTGCTTTGCTAATATAAACTATAGAACTACTCTAAAGTTTATCCTTTAGAAATAGCTAACCTATAGTACTTATAAAACCTGGTTTATTATATAATAATAACTTTTATTTAAATAGTTACCTTAGACCTATAGGTAATAAAATACTAAGAATTTAGTAGTTTATAAGCTTTAGAGTTTTAGATAATAATATTAATTATAAAAGTAAAGCTTAAAGTAACTATAATAGTAATATTAAGCTTAAAAATACATTAGCTAAAAATATAGCTAATTAAGCTAATTATAATAAATTAAAGGCTAAGTTTAAAGCTTTTAAAACCTAGCTTTAGGACCTTTAAAATAGAAAAAGAAAAAAGGGTAAGGTTATTAAACTAATAAAGCCTAAACCTTTTAATAAAGATCTACGTAAAATAAATAAATTCTTTTTAAAATTTATAACCTATT